CTAAAACGAGACTCAGTCATCGTCTCAGTGGTCAGGATGAATAATTACAGATTTTTTTCCTTTCCCATAATGCAGGGTAGAAGAGCAGTTATATTTACCAAGGTGATGGCACGTTCAATTTCAAGCAAAATCTTATTTAGTTGTTAAATTGTTATTTTTATGTCAACATTTAGAATAGTTTTTCAGGAGGCTCTTGTGCTCTTTCATTAAAGTGGAGGAGAATGCTATAATTGGCACCCAGAGAAAAGATGTTTGTGCCTGATAGCGACCAGAAATTAAATGTTTTAAAAATTTTCATGTAAAAAAATTTAGAAAATTGCTTTATAGGAGTTACAGAAAGGATCTCTCATTTGTTAGAGTTGACAGAAGAGTACTTGCTCATAATCTTAATTTAAGTCTCTGTGGTAACATGTTGATAACCACAGTTGATTTTAAATAAACTAATTGTTTTGCTATTAATAGTTATTTTGTTGTTTTGTCAGAACTCTGATTATAGTGTTGAGACTTCTGTAGTGTCCCATCGAAACTCCTTTGCAATTGGCTACTTTGAAAAGGGCACAACAACTAGCGAGAAGATGATTAACTTCCAGTCTGTTTTGTAGCCATTCTCTGGACGTAGGAGACTAGGCGACTTACAAGTCTGCCATAACTCTGAAATTCCTTTGCAATTAGGGATATTCAAGAGGGTACAACAGCTAGTGAGAAGGAAAGGGATGGGAGGGGAGGGCGGGGCGATTTCAGTGTTGGTCCTGCAATGTATGTCACTTGCTTTATGTTACTTGCTTTAGATAACGCTGCCACAAGTTTGACGCTAAAACAATAAACCTCTAATCACTACATCATAATATGCTCTCCTTTTTATTTGTTCAAGAATACTCCATTTTACAATTATGTGCTTGGTTGCCAAGCCTCTGAACAGGAGTGAGGTTAAGGTAGACCTTGTTATGATACAAACCTTGCTGCTTTTCAAATGCAAATTTCTTTATTATCATGCTAACTAGATACTGGTCTCTATCACAACAAGGTCACCTCCAGCCTCACTCCAAATCAAAGGCTTGGCAACTAAGTACACAACTGTAAAATGGCCTATTACTACACCGGGCATTTTTCCAACTATTGTAGAGCTAAAAAATTCATTCTCTTTGATACCGCGAATTTAACGAAATGAATGACAACATTATTTTGAGTGTTTTTATTTTAACACAGATGTAGTTTTATTTAATATAACTTCAATTTAAAAACCAGAAATGACAACACAGTAAACATGAAATAAACAACCTGTTTCTAAATAGTGTTTATTTCACCCATAATATTCATCGGCCTGTTCTTGTATTTCTTGGAGATTTCTTGAGAAATCTGAAAAAGGAAAATTGATAACGACGAAGACATGGTTGATAAGGCAGCAAGATACATATTTTACATAATATATAATGAAACTAGTTTATCAGGTCTGATAATGGCTTTTATGGGGGGTGGGGCATTTTTTACCGTATTACCAAAAGTGACTCGGATGAGGTCGACAATTGGACACAGAATAGACTGTCACGGGTAGGGGTTGGTATATTGCCAGGACTTCTGTTTCCTTCACTTCCATTCCTCTTTCAGAGAAAGGCAGAAGTCAGACAAATCTCAAAACAGGTGACACGCAGGATCTTCACGCAAACGTGTGGAACATGGCTATACTCGAGACGCGCATCTTTACTAAAAGCTTTTTAACTCATGTCATCTGAAATAAGACCTGGCCTCATACTTTCCCAAGGCGTTATGTGTCATAAGTAGCTCATGATGGCCGTTGTTCAGCAAATACTTTTAGTGTTCCAAGCCGAGGATTCAAACAACAAATAATCAAATGACAAATTATGACTTTCGAAGGGTTAGCCATTTGCACGCTAGCCTTTAGTCCTTT